TGAGGACTGACTCCCAGGCTCCCCTCCACCCTCAGCTGAAGCTCAGGCTTCAGCCAGCACCCAGCACACATCAGCACAGCCTTGCCCAGCATGCACCCAGGCGGAGTCTGCTGCTGGCTTGCTCTGGGGCCCTGGGCGAGCTCGTGTCCTCTCTGAGCCTGTTTCCTCGTCTGTGATAAATAACAATAACAAGAACCCACGTTTTTTGAGTTATCTTTACAACATCTCGTCAATCCTATGAAGTAGGTACTATGACTATCCCCATTTTATAGACCCTGCAGGCACAGAGGAGTTAAGTGACTTCCTCAAGGTCACACAGATACTGAGTGTTGGAGCTGGGGTTCTGGCCTGGGCAGCCGGGCCCCAGAACATGCGTTCTTAAGAGTGGCGATCCTTCACCGGGCCGATGAGAAAACCATTCTCATGACCACCTCCCCTGTTCAGATGAGAACACTAGACCCCTAGGAGCTCTAGATCCTTCTCTCCAGACTGTATTTTCTCAGCTCATTATTATCCAGCAACTTCAACCCTTGCCTAGCATTTAGTCCTTTTTCTGGACTGAAAGCTTCCCAGGGGACCATGTCTGCTTTTGCTCACCCTGGGATCCCAGGGACCAGCTGGACACCTGGCACGCGAATGAATGAAACACAGCCGCAATCACACCGCCAGTTAGACCCACGCCTTTCTGAGCACCTTCTCATCCTAAATCAATGCTGCTCAGACTGAAAGAAGGAATTCTTCAGGAAGAAAGAGACAAGTTCGTCCAGGAGGCAACTCCTTCTTGGAACACAGACATGACATACCTTTAAGAATAAAGAGCAGGCACGGGAGAGGGAAAGAGCTAGAAGGTGCTGGCTGCTCGGTGGCCCATCCCCTCTGGTACTGGACAGGCTTCCAGAGCGCATGACCATGAAGGGGGCAGTGCAGGCTGGCACTGGCCCGGACTGGCTGCCCCAGGCTGTTACCGCTTGCGAGGCCAGAGCCTGAGTTGGGGCAAACATGGGCTGTTAAGGTGCCAGAAGCAGCACCTGGAAGCGCCGAGTAGAAGGAGATGGGCCCCAGGTCGCGACAGCTCTGTGTCCCCTCCTTCCCAGGGCTGGCACACAGGAACCGCTGTCTCCCCAAATTGAGCCTGAGTTCTAAAGACTGGAAGAAGCTGCCTGGGAGTGGCCACCCCTAGGGCGGGCACTGCACTTGCCTGCTTCAGAGCATTTCCCTAATGGATCCCTCACTTGCCTGGGAGGGACCACTGGTCCCAGTTTACAGGGGAGGAGCTCCAGCGAGGCAGGAGTGGCTGTGCTGAGGCCGCGTGGCTAGTGGAGATGGAGAACAGCTGAAAACCTAGAACTCCCAGCCCCAGCCTGGCCAGATCCACGTGCCTCGGGCCAGGGTTTGCACTGGTGCCTAGGATGTGGGGCCACTCAGGAGGGCTGAGTCCCATGCCCTTGTTTCTTGGCCAGGAGCCTAGACTGACCCTGGCTGACCTTGCTCATGCATCCAGGCCCCTCTAATCAGAAGCAGCCGTCGTGCATTTCTCTCTGCTCAGGGGGAGGCTCCGAGAAGCAGGCATTAGGAAGAGTCAGGTGACATGAGGAGTCTGATTTGCCAAATAGCTCTGGACTCATGGGCCGTCCCAGGAGCAACAGGGATCAGAGGACACTTAGGCGCAAAAGAAGCTGGGTCCCCGCACCCCGGACACCCGCTGATTTTGAGCCCTAACCATCATTACTGTAGTAGACACCACAATCATGATGGGCAGTTGTCACAACTGGCGGAGGCTCAGGAGGGAGGCAACGTGCCCGGTCACCCGGGCTGTCTTCACCCACAGGCGTTACGGCAGTCGGCAGATGTACCGTGCACTTGGCTTGTCCTCTTCGGACTTTCCACACAGCCTTTGGGAACCCTGGGAATGCTGCCACTTGTCCCTCAGGAGGGGTCCAAGATGCTGTCTGCTGCTTTTTACACTGACTCATTGCCCAGATTTAAAAATTGGGAGATACATGGGGCACCTGGGTGGTTCAGGTCACGATCTCAGGGTCCTGGGATCGAGCCCCACATCGGGCTCCCTGCTCAGCAGGGAGCCTGCTTCTCCCTCTGCCTTTGCCGCTCCCCCTGCTTGTGCTCTCTTTCTCCCTCAAATAAATAAATCTTTAGAAAAAATTAAAAAAAATAATAAAAATTGGGAGATTCACATAAAAATCCTAGTAAGAGAAGGGACTTCTTTAACCAATGTGCTGGTTAGTGCTGGTTAACAAAGATTAGGGTTGAGGCCCCCAGATTGGCGTTCTGGCTAAATCTCAATTCCTGGCTTCAGGATCTGGCTAGCCAGGGCCTTTGGGAAGGGTGAGGCATGGGACTTCAAGGCTCCACCACACAAGTAATTTGAGGTCCAGTATCTGAGATGCCCTGAAGGCCTCCACTCTGCCTTCTAGCACATTTCCCATGGCTGCCTTCTGCACGAAATCCAAACTCCTGCCCACACTCTACCAGCCTCACGGGGTCTGGGCCCTGCCAGACTCCCTTCATCCTGGGCTTCTCTCCCCTTGGCTCGCGGTGCTCCACCACCCTACCCTTCATTTTGCTTTTCACCAAAGCCTGGTCCATTCCTACCTCAGGGCCTTTGCACACATACTGACTGGCACACCCTCCCTCCCCAACTCTTCCCATGGCTGGTCTTGTTGATCATCTGGTTTCAGCTCACATGTGGCTTCTGCCTACTTCTGTCTATTCCTCCAGCTCCTTTCTTTCCTCACCAGCCTCATCACATCACAGCTGAAGACCTGGGCCGGAGTCCTGACTCTGCCAATTCCTTAGGGTATGACCTCGGGCAAGGCTCCTACCTTGGCTGTTTTGGCTTCCTCACCTGTCATAGGGTCATGATATCCCCACCTCACCAGGTCGCTGCGAGGGCCTGGCTCAGAGTGAGCACGTGATCCCACAGCAGCCAGTGTTGCTGCCCCCCGTTATCATGTCCCCCCGAACCTACTCTTCTGGACGAGGCTGAGGTTTGTTTTGTGGCATCTGCAGCCCAAATGAATGCCTCCAGGCCAAAGCAGGCCCCGGTTACAAACAGGCCACAGCTGTGGTCTCGCATCTCACGTTGTGCCGGCTCCCCATTCTGTGCACCCTCCTTTCAACCAGGGGCCTCACGACTTCACCTGGAGCCCTGCTCGTGGGAAAGCTGTTCTTCAAAGGAACAGAGCACATATGACCTGGCTGGAAAAGAGGCTCAGGCCACCCTGGCCTTGGGGACTTTATGGCTTGCTCAGAGCAGTCACCCCGTAAAACCCCCTTCTTGATGAAAGCAGGACCCCCCTCCCACCACCACCACTCACTTCCCCATAAATCTACTTCTTATAAAACTCGACTTGGGCGCCGCGTCCTCATTTTGGGCAGCTCGACCCCACAGCCCCACAGCCCCGCAGCTGGGAGGCCTCACGGGCGTGGGCTGCTGGGAGGTCTGCACAGTGCAGCTGCGGTGAGTGTCCAGGGACCACAGAGCTTGGCCTTCACATCCTTCTGGGGACACGGCAGTGTGGGGACTACCAGGCCCATCTTGTCTCTGAGGAAACTGCCTAAATAAGCACCAAGCTCTGAAAGGCGTCCAGTAAAGCAGTTTTGCTTCTCTGCCTTGGGCTTTGTACTTTTAACTGTTTTCCTCTTTTCTTTCTCAGGAATTGCTTTTTGGTAGAAAGCACACCCAGCGCCCCCGAGCCTCGCCTTGCAGCCTCTGTCGCCCTAGTGCGCGCAGGACCCCTCACGCCCGAGGTCCTGTCCCATCCTCCAAAGACCCTGGTGGGTCAGTGCCACATCTCCACTTCGTGCGCGAGGAAGCTGAGGGCTCCCCCACAGGGAGCCGCAGTGCTGGGGTCACGCCCACCAGGCCGCCTCTGGGCCCAGGGTTCTGTCCCCACCTTTCAGTGTGAGCCACGCCCTGGTCTCCGGCTGGTGCCACAGTCGTAGGCCAGCCCCCCCCCCCCCGGGCACCTCCTCCTTGGGGGCCGGGCTCAGGTGGGGTCACGTGGCTGTCCTGGCCTCCTTCCCCATCTACTCTTTTTTTTTTCTTTATTAAACTTCTTTTTTAATGGGTCTTAAAACTCTGTGACAAATTTCTGGCCAAGTTGCTTCCATTAAAAAGTATTGATTTAAAAAACGGATAATTTAAAACCACCACTCACTCTCGTGAGCGCACACGCTGGCCCTCGCCCGTGCCCACAGCCCACTCTGCTGCAGCCCACAGCCCGCCTCGGGATTCCAGACCCTGCCATTATCTTAAGCAAGACACGCCTCTAGGCCTTCGCAAATGCTGTTCCCTCTACCTAGAAGCCCCTCTCCTCCGGGCATGGGGTCCTGCCTTCTGGCCCGCTGTCCTACCTCGCGGTCCTGCTGCCCTGGGCCTAAACTCTGACCACCCGTCCCCTGAAACCAAGGCCCTTCACCTGCTGGGCTCAGCTAGAGGCCAGGTTCTGTCCCAGCCTGGGGCTGCGCCGGGCCACTCCCGCGCTCCGGCCTGCCTGCCATCCCACCCAGCATCCAGGGGGCAGCAGGCTCCCGACCACAAGGACCCTCTGCTGGCTGGTGACCCGGTGAACGTGCGGAGACCGAGAAATTGGCAGTCGGCCTGGTCAGACCTCCAGCTCACCTTGGGGAAGGGGGACCACGGAGGATGGGGCCCCACTCTTCCTGGCCACAGCCAGCCTTCAGCCCAGAAAGGAAAACAGCTCCTCTGGTCACATCTGCCCATTTGCGGCCCCACCTCGCCTCCACATAAAAACACCAGGAGCACCAACAGCCCCGGTGTAGCGGGCGGCGGGCGGGAGCTGGGAGGAGGTCTGTGCAGAGCCCACACCAGAAGCACAAAACAGCCATTCAGGCCACCACCCAAATTCCCTGCCTGGACCCCGAGGCCCCCGGAGTCAAGACGTGGCGAAGGGAGTTTCCAGGGGCCGCCTGTTTCTGGGGGTTGGGGGGCGTCCCCGGTCAGCACGGGCAGTACTCACCGTTGGAGCGGTGGATGCAGGTATGCTGGTTGTCGCTGAGGAAAAAGCCACCGTGGCACTGACACTCGTAGCTGCCCATGGCATTGACGCAGATCTGCTGGCAGCCGCCATTGTTGTCCTGACACTCGTCCACATCTGCGAGAGGAGAGAGGGGACAAGAGAAATCGCACCTGGTGCTGGAAGTGCGGTGTGATCCGTTGGGAGGGCATGGATGGGATCAGTTTCCCCAGGCTGCACAGAGAGGTACTCCAGTGATACTCCACAGAAGTACTCCTTGTAGTACTCCATGGTGACACTGCATAGAGTGATACTAATGATACTCCACGGGAGTACTCCATGTGGTACTGCACAGGCCGCACTGCAGTGATACTCCCTGGAGGTACTCCATGTGGTACTGCACAGGGCCACACTGTGGTGATACTCCATGGAATACTCCATGTGGTACCGCACAGCAGTACTACACAGGGCCGCACCTCAGTGATACTCCCCGGAAGTACTCCATGTGGTACTGCACAGGGCCACACTGTGGTGATACTCCCTGGAGGTACTCCATGTGGTACTGCACAGAACGATACTACAGTAGTACTCAGATGTACTACATGTGGTACTCCATGGTAACGCTGCACAGAGTGAACTAGGAATACTCCATAGATGTACCCTATGTGGTACTCCGCAGAGCTATATCCTATAGTGATATTCCACAGATATATTCCATGATGTACTCCACAGTACTACACGATAGTGATACTCCACAGAGGTACTCCTTGGCAGTACTCTATGGTATGGCATAGAATGATACTAGTTATACTCCACAGATGTACTCCATGTGGTACTTTAAAGATTTTATTTATTTATTTGACAGAGAGAGAGACAGCGAGAGAGGGAACACAAGCAGGGGGAGTGGGAGAGGGAGAAGCAGGCTCCCCGCTGAGCAGAGAGCCCGATGTGGGGCTCGATCCCAGGACCCTGGGATCATGACCTGAGCCGAAGGCAGACGCTTAACGACTGAGCCACCCAGGCGCCCCTCCATGTGGTACTTTAGAGAGCTATCCTACGGTGATACTCCACAGAGGTACTCCATGGTGATCCCGCACAGAGCTATAGTATGGTGATACTTCATAGAGGTACTGAATGTGGTACTTCATTCAGAGTGCATACTCTAGTGCTATTCCACAGATGTACTCCATGTGGTACTCCATGGTGACACTGCACAGAGCATACTATGGTGATACTTCGCAGACGTACCGAATGTGGTACTGCATGGTGGCACCATAAAGGGCTATACTACCATGATACTCCACGTGATACTCCACAGTACTGCACAGAACTACACTATAGTGATACTCTACCGAGGTACTCCTTGGTAGTACTCCACGGTGGTATTGCACAGAGCAATACTACAGTGATACTCCACAAAGGTACTCCATGTGGTACTCCACAGCAACACCACACAGAGCTATACTATGGTGTTATTCTATAATGGTGCTCCACAGTGGTACTTTATGGTAGTATACCATGGACATACTCTACATGGTACTCCACAACAGTACTCCACAGAGTTACTCCATAGAGGTAGATAGTTACAATGGTTGTAATGCTAGCTGACCCTCAGTATCCTGTGCGACCCACACTGTTCTAAGTATTTGACCTGTACTAACTCCTTTAATCCTCACAGCAACCCTGTAAATCAGATTCAGGTATTAGCCCATTTTATAGATGAGGAAACTGAGGTCCAGAGGGGCAAAGTCACCTGTCTGAGGTCCCACCTGGAGTCTGACTCCCAAATTGTGATCTCACGGATACTGCTGGATTTTCCCTCTCTAGGAAGATTGTGCAACCTGCACTGTCTACCCCCAACACACAGAGCCTCGCCAACCAAACTCTAACGTCCCCTCTTTCTTCATTCACACCTCAGATTTATAACCAGTAACACAAGACTTGGCAGCCCCGGAGAGGCTAGAGGACAGGGCAGCCTGCCTTCTGCCTTGCAAACTGATTTCAAAAGTCTAGAGAATGGGGAAGTTTTTAAAAGGCTCTAACCTCTGGCTGCCAAGACAGCTGCAGAAGGTCGCTAAGTGGTCTTCCCACTCTCTAGGAGAGACAGACCTCAGGGCCGACACTCATTTTTGACCAGAGGCTGCTGGCACAAAGGATGCTATTGGCTGAAAAGAGGCTTTATGGAGTTCTGGTCTTAAACAGAACAGCATGTTTCAATTACCGAAGTCATAACCCCCTACACTGTCAGTTTGTTTAATGAAAGAAGGGCTTCTTAAACCTTAATGTGCCATGTCTGTATTGTCACTTTAATAGGCGAAAACATGAAACCACAAAGGCAAGGTGAGCTACTGGCTGCTTCTAGCCAATCCCCTGACCCCCAACACACACACAGACACACACACACGCACGCTTTGGCACTAAGCTTTTTATGCTGTTCTTCTTCTTTTTTTTTAAATATTTTATTTATTTATTTGGGAGAGAGAATGAGAGACAGAGAGCATGAGAGGGGGGAGGGTCAGAGGGAGAAGCAGGCTCCTCGCTGAGCAGGGAGCCCGATGCGGGACTCGATCCCGGGACTCCAGGATCATGACCCGAGCTGAAGGCAGTCGCCCAACCAACTGAGCCACCCAGGCGCCCCTATGCTCTTCTTCTTAACACAGCCATCTTTCAGTACCGGAACCAAAAGGATGTGAAAATGTCAAGAACCAGGCGGACTGACCTGCACTGAACCAGAAGAGGACTCAGCTTTGGAACGACGTCAGCTGGGTGCTACTGAGGCTTAGGGACAACAGCCCAATTCACCACCCAAGAGACCACATGGCTGCCTCTGAGGCCAGCGCCGAGGCAGGCCATTATCTCCAGGAAGCTCAAATGTCAGCTGTGTGGCGGCCGGGAGGGGGGCAGAGATCTGAACTCTAAAAGCCACCAACCGTTACAGTTAAAACGGGGAAGGTGGCTCTTGCTGAGAAGAGACAGAGTGGGGTCCCAGGGGAGCTGGGAAGGCCAGAGAGGGATTATTCTGAAGACCTTTCTCCACTCAACAGAGTCTTACTTAGTGGTGGCTCCCTCAGGGCCCAGGGCTAATGTCACCCTTGCTGGGGGGCACCTCCCCTCCCCTCTGCAGTGTCTGCCTCCGGGCGTCTCTCCCCTGCCTGCACTAGACCATGGACGGCTCTAAGCCAGGCACCAAGTCTTGTTCATCCTACCAATAACAAGGCAAAGTTAACATCCCTCGAGTGTTCACTACGTGTCAGGCATGGGGCCTCACAAATAGCAACTCACTCGACCCTTGTGGCAGAGCTGCGTGCCAGGCTGTGGGACGCCTCCATTGTGCAGACGAGGGCACCAAGACACAGACAACCAGAGCCACGTGAGCCAAGTCACACAGCTGCTCGGAGCGAAGGCAGGACTTAAACCTGCTGTCCACCTCCCGAGCTCATGCCTTTGCCCACCACGAAGCTGGCCTGGCCCCTCTCCCCACTTCCCTGGGAGCCAGGAGCCAGAGGGCTGTAGACGCTGCACATCGACAGAACTTCAGTGAGCTGGCCGAGTGGCCGGGCCTTGGGACAGTGCTGTTTACACTAGCCGGGAACAATGACTCTCAAACACTGATGAATAATTTGAAACAAATGCAAGGCCATGTAAACATTTCTTTTCCCCACTCCCCAACGACAAAGCCCCGAGATTAAGCAGGAGGGAAGAGGGGGCTGCCCCCTCTGCACCCTTTTTCCACTGTGGTCCAAACACAGGCCTCCCTCAAGCTGGACAGGAAACCACAAGTCTCAGAATCCCTCTGGGCAGCCTGTGGGCATTACCAACTTCTCTAGGGGCTGGATGAGAGGCCTGATGCCCACTTCATACCCCTCACGCCCCAGGGCTCAGGCCCCCAGACGGCACTCACAGTGAAGCCTGGAGAGTGACCAGCTGGAGGAACTGGGTCTGCGAGATGGCTACCCACGGGCCTAGGGCAGGCTGGGTTGACCTGGAACATAGCACTATGAGAACTACCTAACCCCCCGGCCCTCCTGAGGGTGGGCAGCCCGGCACACGTTGTTCCTTAGCCCCCCGTAGGACTCAGAAAACTCTGTGATGAGAGGTCCCGCACGGCAAAGAGGGAGCCTACACCTGGGAGTCGGACAACCTGAGTTCTGGCTCTGGCCCGTGGCCTGTGGCCTGGGGCAGGTGCTCAGGTCTCATCAGCAGGAGGAAGTGCAGACTGTGCCCTCCAGGAAGCCCTCCTGGAGCGCTGGAGGCACGCACAGCCTTCATCCTTCTCTCCCATGGAACTGTTCGTGCACGGACAGGCCCCGGTGTGGGAGTCCCACGGCACCACGCCCCCACTGGGGACGAGCATGAGGGTCGGCTGCGCAGGGCTGGCAGCCTGGACATAGAGGCCAGTCCTCGCTGCCAGCCGGGGCGCTCAGGGTCTGTCCTCACAGATCTGCACCAGAGCTCCACCCTGGGGACAGTATTCCTACCAGACAGATGCTCAGATGAGAAAATGGAGGCCTAGGGAGGAGAAGGGATATGCCTAATGCTATAAAACAGGAAGAAGAGGGATTCGATGCCTGATGAGTGTGGATCCAAGGCCTTTCCCTGCTCTTCTGTGATCTGGCTTCTCTCAGTGAGGACACTTCAAGCCCAATCATGGCAACGAGAGGTGGTTCCCTGGGTGTGTCTGCTTAACACACCACCCCTGACCTTACGTGCTTGTGTCTCCAATACTCCTCGTCTCTGAAGGCTTCCTGGTGCCCAGCAGATTTTGCTCACCCCCTACGCCCAGACTTGCTCCGCCCTGGACCTCGGGCTTGGTCATCCTGTCTCTACTGTGGGTTGAGGAGAGATCTGAGTCTCCCTTATACGCCTGCCCCCAGTGGATGCTCAGACTGAGTAGGCGCTAAGTGTCAGCAGGATAAATTGAATGGCACCTGTGTGCTCGTACATGCCAGTGATGGGGAGCTCATTACCTACAAGGTCAGTCCCCTGGCGCAGAGAGCCGTCCTGGTTCCTCCTGGGCACAAAGAGGGGGCACATTCAAGGCTCTCCACAGCGTGCCACCTCTCCAGCAGCCGCACCTACTTCTGCTGTTCTCTGAACATACCCTCTTGTTCACACTCGCCTTCATATGCACACATGCA